AATTATCTATTTGGAATAAAACAATTTCCTGAACGAGCTAATCTATTACAAATCATTTCTTTCTAAACTATCTAAAATATTTGTTCTCCATTATTAATAAGTTGTGCATTGTTTTAATTTGTGAAAACTGTTAAAAACCGCAAATAATATTTAGTTTTTTAAATTAATTGTTAATATTATTTTAATATATTGTACAAGTGTATTTTAATAACAGTGGAAATAGTGTTTTTAACAATCAATACTTAAAATCTTGAAAATTAATTTGATATTTAAAGAACCCTTTATTATTATTTAATGTACCATAGTTGTCTCTATAAATTTGTTTATTTGTGCATCTATAATTTTTAATAGTGTAAGTGACTATTAATTTTTAAGTGGTTTAATAATAAATAGTTTTCGTAATTAGCTATTATATTTAATTTGTGTTTATAAATTTAATATTTTTCCATGTATGAACAAATAATAGAGTACATATATAATATAAATTAGTTTTACAATAAATATTGATTAATTAAATTTGAGTAGCCTTTGAAATTTTTAAAACTGTAGTTAATTAAATTGCTATAAATAAATAATTATACGCCATTGAAAAATTTAATTTAAAAATTCATTGTGTTTTTGAAATAAAGTTTAACAAAAACTGAATATTATTTTCGAAATACTTAGAATTTCAGCGTTTTTTTCGCATTATGAAAATAAAAACATTATTTAGTCGCAACTAAGCTACTATCAGTTACCAAGCAACAGCGTCATCATTAAAAGGAAAGAGAGGGAAAAGGAGAGAGGAAAAGAGAGGGAAAAAGAGAGGGCAATGTTGATTAAATATAGGGAGGACAAAAAAGGCATTTGAAATAAAATGACTTGCACAAATAAATACTAAATGACTAAACACATATCAACCCCGAGACACAAAAAAAGTAAGAATATTACAAGAAAAAGCAATAAGAAATAATAAGAAAAAATAAAAAATTAATAACGAACAAGAAAAAAAGAATATTACTAAAAATTTAAATTACACAAAAGTCTAGATCTGAGAGTACCCTTCCCAATAGTAGAACCAAACACCAAAGAATTATAATTAACAAAATACAACATTTTGATGACCGGCCCATTTCTACCATGACCAGTAGAATTATAGTGATCATTATACAATTCAACAGATCTAAGATTCCTTACATTATCTCTAATAGAAACTCGTTTCAACAATGAAGGAGCCACAATGGCCCCCGACACAAGCTGATGGATAAGCACTATGTCAGCAACAACCTTACGCTCACTCAAAGACTGTAAATCGATCAGCATCGACCCAGCTTTATAAAATGGCGACTTAAAAGGATCAGACCAGCTCAAACCACTCAAAGCAAAACGTAGAGGTTTCCATTGTACAGATTCAATACGAGAAAAATCACCACACAATAGGGTGTCCAAACCTGACAAGCATACTCCAGAATCGGCCTCAAACAGAACCTACAAACATGTCCAAAATACGGACCAACAAACTCCCTAGCCCAACACATTACAAAGACCTACTTCAAATAAGTTTCCAAGACACATATTCAAATGAAACCCAAAAGCCAAACTGTGATCAAGCAATAATTGTTGAGGCAATAATCATGCTGGATAACAGAAGACTCTTTCCTCACTCACGAAAAACTCAACACCCGAGCAACTAGCTCGACACCCCATTTGAAAGCTGTTAGAATCCCCTTGTAACGCCAAATAATCAAGCTCTGATCGGATCTCTGATTGAAGTCATCGGTGAAACTGTAAAGCGCGGAATCCAAAACAGAGCCAAAAGCATTATTAATCGCGACTATAAAAAGTATGGGACACAAATGACTACCCGCCTGAGACAGTACGGTAGCCATCAGACAGAGCCGAAAGCAAGAAATCTGATGCCCTACATAAATAGAAGTAGAGGCACATCAAGCTAAGAAGAGAAAACCTATACTAGCTATTTTCTCAGAATAACCTAATGCGGAATAGTACAAAAGCTATACTAAGGTCCGTAAAAACAACATCGACCTAACCACCGACTCCATAGAGTTAACTAAGAGATAAATTCTAACAAAGTAGCAACCGCAGACCTACCCCTTTGAAAACCATGCTGACAGGAATGAATAGAAGGTAAAAGACTGAGTGAGAATAGAGTGAGAATAGAAGTAATCAACCAAAGTAATCCCAAAACTCTAATTTTTGAGGGAAAATGTATATTGTACATATATTTTTCATTATTTTATTTCATTATTTCATTATACAGTTGTCTCGTATGGGTACAATTCTTTTAGACTTTCGTATGATATAAATTTATCTTTGGGTAAAGAGAGATAAAATGGTATATTAGCAATAAAAAATTGCTGTTCTAACTTTTTCTAATTTTTTCTTCACGTGTAAATTATAGTTCATAATATTATATTGCAGATAAACACTTCAAATCGCACAAACTTAGAAGGTAAAATACTTTAATTAACCTCAATATGAAATTGTTTCCAATTTCCCTGAACCTTTGAATGAACATTCACTTCCAATATGTCTACTTATCAATTTCCAGGAGCTAATAATATAATATCGAAAATATTTTGTAACAAAATGATTACTAAAACTGCATCTAGACATACATCAATATTGAGTATGCGATAGCGAAATATAATTTGTTTTATTTCAGTCCATCTAAAAGTAACTTTTAAGTAATAACGTATACATATACATATTGCTAATTCCCAGCTTTCACTGCCATACTAACTTATTTTATTAAATAACATCTTACTCGCAAAAAATAATTTTTAAAATTAATTTAAAGAAATTTCAGGTATACAGTTTAAATCCAAAAGACAATAATTTTTTAATTTCTACGTTATAAAAATCAATAAATAAAATATATGATATAATTGAAAAAATTAATTTGGGCAAGTTGGAAGAGATACTTTTAATATGATTAAAAATGTATGTAACTATGAATTTATTTATTTTTGAGTGTTATTTATTTTTATGAGGTCAAGAATCACGATCAAGTTTAAAAATTAAATGAAAGAATAAAAGTGATAATAAGAGAAACTTTACTCTCCAAAGCTGTTGCGTTTAGTTTATATTAGATTCGTGTTGCGGTTTGGTATTTAACAAAATGAACTAATGCCTTGGTTGTAAACAATTCAAAATGAACTATTGTTGAAATGAATTTTTAATAATTTTGTAATTAATTATTTATTTAAAATACAGAATTAATACATCTGATGAAATCATGAACTAATACAAATTTCTTGCAGTTACATATTTTTATAATTAATTAATATTTTTATTATGTGCATACCCTAAAATAAATGTGAGTTCAGAAAATTTATTCTAACAAAGTGAAATATGACAAATTTTTAAATGGCAAAATTGCAGTAAATAGGAACAAACTACATAATCATAGTAAAAGATTCTGAGCTACAGTAGAAATATGCAAATAGAAAAACGACAACACTGTAGAGAGTAATAATAAGAAAGAGAAAACGAAAGAAGAGTATTTTCTCACTTTAATTTATTTCTTGTTCTCAAATCTCAATTAAAAAGAAAAGAGAACAACGAATTTTATATTACAAGTATATAACTGGTGTTGCCAAAGTGGAATGTTTTCTTCAAAAAATGCATATTACTGTTGAAATGCATATTAAAAGTGGAATAAAAAAAAAGCATATTTTTTCATAAAATTATTCTACTAAAAAAATAAAAACATATTTTGCTTTTGGTTTTCACTTTAGAAAGAAAAGGCAATTCTTTTTTTCTAAATAATGTTATCTTCAAAAAATGTCAAAATGTGATTGTTGACTCTTTAATAAAAATTTCCTTTCAACATATTTTGGATTGGCAACTGCTTCAATTGACATTTGAAGTTAATCAAAAATATAAAAATCTTAAATGGGTTGAATGTATCGAGGAAACACTTTATTCAGGAACTAAATTTATTGAAAAACTTTGAAAAAGAGGTCAGAACTCTTTGAAATACTTCAAATTTAGTTCTGTCAATTTAATTTAATATTGAAAACACGTATTTAATTTTATGTAATGTGCTCACATGGAGCTTATATGACATGTTATTTTGTTTATTTAGCCCTGAAAGAAGTTATTTTTATTTTTTTACAAGGAATATAAAAGCATATTTTTGTGTAAAATTATATTTTTTTCAGACCTTTTCGGCAACACTGTATACAACAAAACAATGTTTTTTACCTGAAACTAATAAGTTTTGGAGGTATAGTTAGCAGGGCTGTCGGTTGATTTTTTGGACGGGGAGAAGAAATATTCAAAAAAGGGAGCCATTTTTAAAAAAGTGGAGCCAATTCCTATATTTCATAGAAAAACAATTTACACAACTTTGATCCTAGCTTTAAGATCACAACTTGATTCCTAGCTTTTCGCATCAATATTTTTAAATAATTCTTTTGAATTTAATGAATAATTTTTTTCCACTTCAACCTTAAAGAAGTAGTTTTAATCAAATTAACAGAAGAAAATACCCTTTCAGCTGTCGCACTACAATGTGCTAATCTGAGGGAGTTTTGAATAAATTTTTAAAGTTTACATCAATATACTCGATCGATTTTAATTAAAATGTCAAAATTGCAACATTATCGTCTATTGAAATTTCTTTACAAACATCTGCCGACGTCCACGAATTCTCCTTAGTTTGATTATTTCACACTTTATCTAACTAATTGATTAACTTGACTACAAAAAGATAGGTGACGGCTTTTGAATTAGCAGAAAAAGGTATTTACATAAATTCCTTAGCCCAGGTTTTGTCAACAAATTTTGAAATACTGCAAAAAAAGTTTCAACTGAAAAATTTTTTCAAGAATAATTATCAATATGGCTTTTGGGTCTGATTGAGAAACTAAATCGGAGTCAAATTGCAAAAGGAAGAGCCGGGGACACAAACTCGTCCCAAATTAGTTTAACTCCGATTAGTTTAACTCCATTTGGCTCCGATAGGAGTTAAACGACAGCCCCGATACTTAGTCTGATCTTAGCTGAGCACGGCGAGATCGAGAGCGTACGAATTTATTAAGTTTTTGTTTTTCTTTTAAAATTTTGAAAGTATTTTGTTTTTATAAATTTGTACGTTTATTTAGTAAATGATCAGCTTTTAAAACAATCAGCTCTAAAATTTGTATAAATAGAAAAATATTTTTTGTGGTTTAATTCATGGCCATTTTTAAAAGTAATTTTTATTAATTAATTTATATAACGCTGAATTAATAACAAGTATTTAAAGTTGTATATATAACTGAAGAATAATGGAATATCCAATTGTTTCAAATAATAAAACGAGGTTTATTGGCAAAACTCTAAAAACGTGGACAAATGAGAATTTTCATAGTTTTAGGGGAATACGATATGCCGTACCACCAACTGGAACTCTGAGATTTAAAGTATACATTAATAATATTTGGAATTCATAATAAATATTCAAATTTTATCAGGATCCGGTGCCTTATGAGTATGATGACGGAGAATACGATGCTACAGAAGACGGACATGACTGCTATAGCATTTATGCAACCAATCCCTCAGAAGATTGTTTGAATTTGAATGTTTACACCCAATCGGTATATTTTAAAATTTGGATGTTTTCAACTTATTTTCATTAAATATTTTTGTAACAATAATAATTTTTTTATAGACTTTAAAATCAAATCTTGCACCAGTAATAGCTTTTATTCATCCTGGTGGATTATATGTTGGTTCAGCGTTGAGTAATTTTATAGGACCAGAATATCTTATGAATAAAAATATTGTGTTGGTGACATTTAACTATCGTTTAGGTACATTAGGTTTCCTTAATATTGGAACAAAAGAATATCCTGGTAATGCAGGTTTTAAAGATCAAGTGATAGCGCTACGTTGGATTAATAAAAATATTATAAACTTTGGCGGTGATCCAAATAATATAACTTTAATGGGTTATAGTGCAGGTGGTGTAAGTATATGTTTGCATATTGTATCTCCAATGTCAAAAGGTTTATTCCATCGTGCTATTATTATGAGTGGATCGATTCCACCTCAATCGTATATACCAAAAGGACATCAGAGAAATTTGGCATTACGACAGGTTAAAATACTTGGTTGCAACACAATTCAAAATGAAAATGAAACTAAAGAAATTATAGAATTTTTAAATACCAAAAGTGCACTGGAAATATCAATGACTTTAAGAAAAATGTTTTTCTTTGGCAAAGATAATCCAATGTACTTATGGTTACCCATAATTGAAAATGATTACGGACAAGAAAGATTTTTAACTGATGCTCCATATGTGATATTAAAAAGTGGAAATTTTATGAAAATTCCTATCTTAATTGGCTTTACTGATCAGGAATTCGGGCAATCAGCTTATGGTAAATATAATATTTTTGCACTCCGTTATATAGAAATACATAGTATAATAATTTGTTTTACATTTTATTATTTCTATGATTAGAATTGTTTTAATATTACCTTTGCTTTAATTTTAATGTTTAAATAACTGTGTAGAAATTTTGGAATTAAAATTGAAAAACGGAAATTGTTATTTTTGAAAAACGTGTGTTTTATTAATATAATTTTATTAATATAACGGGATTAATGTGTATATGTAAATTCATTTGGTTGATTTTATACCTGTAGTTTAACTGATTTTAACAATTGTTACTAACATAATATTAAATTTAAGTTAGTGATTTATTAAAAATTTTTGAAATAAATTTCATTTTTAATTTTTTTAATCCAATGCAAAGTATATAATTATAAATTTAACTTTCAACAGTCTGTATCAAATCTCTGTAGAATTAATTTTTCTTGGAAGTTTCACTCACATGAAAAATAGGCAAAGTATACTTCAAACATAAATAAATTAAACATCACGATTTTCATTTGACCTCAGATAGCGTATTTTCATAAAGTGTTTTGAACTAGCTAATTTTTCCTTTGCATGTTTTTTTGGTTTTCTGAACAAACTAAATCATCTCCCTTTGTGTTCTAGCAAATCTTGTTCAAAGAACAGCAAATATACTTTTAAATTTAAAGTATTGAGTTGCTATTGCATTAAATTTTCAAAATTAAGGTTTTTTTTTGCAATTTATTAAATTTTACTCTTTTTCAAAATTTTTGAATTACAAATCACCTATTCATTAGAGTTCCTTTATAATATTCTGTTTCAGTTGTCCTTTTCATCAATTCTAATTTTAGTGAGTTTTTGCTTTTTTTTTTCTTTTTTTTTAGATATTTTGTCAAATGATGCTCTACAAGATGAATTTAACCGGAAATTTCAACAACTTGCACCAATATGTTTTATGTATGAGTTACATCAAAACAAGGATATTATTACAAATGAAATTCATAAAAAACTTTTATTAATAGAAAAAAGTCAAAAAGTTTTACCAACTGTGAATACCACAATGAGAATGGAAACAACAGATGTGAAAACTTCTAGTGTAGACATTAATCAATTTATTCAGTTATGCAATTTATTTTCTGATTCTATTATAAAACTCGGTGCATCAAAATACGCAACAGAAATGTCGAAATTTATAGATAAGATATACCGTTATAAATTTACATACAGGGGTCGTCACACCAATTTAAATGGAAATTTGAAATCTAATGGTGAGATACAAATTTATTTTAGATATTACGATATTTTTTTTACATTTGTAATTTCAATTTTATAATTATATATTACTTTTTGCACTGTTCATTAAAATTGTTTTCTTATTTAAAATATAAATTATCTATGTGTAGTATATATACGCACTGCCTACCATCTCTTATTTTGCTACATCCGTGTAGTTTATATTCTAAGAATTTTGTTTTAAAATTTATGCTACTTTGTTTTGTAATTTGAAATATCCTCTAAAACAAATTAAAATTATGGCTAAGTCAGAAAATGAAACATAAAGTGCATTGATTTGGCATCGCTGTTAACATAATGTTAATATGACATTTACATAACATTAATATATATTGCATTCCCTAAATACTCGTATTTTGATTCGCTATCGCTGATTAAAAGTATTAATTATTACAATTAAATAAAGTTAACAGAAATTAAAATCATTATTAATGTTATTGCAACTAAATATTTAAAATACTAATTTTTAAGATATCTTGTAAATTAATATAGAATTTTATTTCCAGAATAATTCTTCAACGTATATTTTAAATTAATAACATCATAATGTTTAATTTCATAGAATGCATTTGTAAAGAGTATGAAAGTTGATCTTATATGTTTAGGAAACTACTTTAGGCAGTGTAGAATATTTTTTATATTTTATATTCTATTTCATCATTGTTCTTTCAAACGACAAGGAAACTATTTTTTTTGTTTGCTTTTATTTCTTTTAAGGTGCTGAACACATGGATGATTTGTGGTATTTATTCAAAATGAAACCAAGTTTTTTACCTAGTGATCCGGAAGCTGATTTAATTGACAGAATGGTGGATTTTTTTACATCTTTTGCATTTGATATTGAGTAAGTTTATCATCATTTGAATTTTGATTAGTTTTCTTTCTTTCTTCTTTGGTTTAGACGTATAACAAAAATTATCCAATAATTCATTCTTGAAATTATATTGAATTTTACATTATAAAACTTTAAAAGGACGCAATTTTTGTCTCTTGCAGCAGTTTTTTTAAATTTGAAAATTTTAAAAAGTAAAAAAAAAATTTGAACAGTTTGTTGCAAAGTGTCGGGGTTATGCTAATATTTTTTTATCAACTTTGAAGGGTTAGTGAAACATTTTGCATTACAAAAATTTAATTTTTTTTTAGATATTTAAAGAATTTTTTACTCGAATTTAAATTTTTTCTGATTTCGTTAGTTTATTTGCCTCACAATTATAAAAAGATTGCGTTTTGTAAACCATGTAACAAATAGTATGAAAACTCTTCATGGTTGCGCTTCTTGGTGTAGTAAATACAAGCCATGGTGAAGAGAAATTTTGCCATGTATGTATATAAAACGATTTAAATAAGAAAAACTTTCGATGAGACTAAAATATTTGAAGTTTCTTTAATTAGCACTTTTGCAAGTAAGTTGCGGAGTTGCAAAGCAGTATCAATACATCATACTTATTTCGAGAACATTTGCATATAAAATAATTTTATTTTCAATGATAAAAGAATTTGCAAGAAGTAAATTGTGTCTAAGTTCTGAGGTGCGGATTAAGTTTAGTGTCACAAAAACCTGTAAATTATTATATTATATTTTAACTATATTTCCTGCAAAAATTTTTAACAATTAAATAAAAATTGCAATAATTTTTTAGTTTTCAAAATGGTGATAATTGGAAATTTAATAGCAGAAAATATATGGAAATTTGTGGAACAGAACTTATAATTAAAAATGATGAAAATTGGTTTAATGAAAAATTTTATGAGGATTTATTTCAACTTAATTGTTATAAATAAAATTAAAAACAAGTGTGTAAATATTTATCTAATAAAAATTCTTGTGAAAATATTGAAATATCTTAAAATAAAAAAATCATATGTACATATTGTTAGTTCTTATAAATTTTAAAATTTAACTATTAAAAAATCTTATAATATTTGTTTGTTAATGCAAATAGTAAGTTTCTTAGTTTCTTTAATTTTTTGAAATATTATTTTGTTAATCAAATTATATTAAAAATAATAATGTTGGTTGGTTGTTTTTTGAAATACAAGTGTGTAGTTTGGTTGCCAAATATTTATATATATATATATATTTATGTATAACTACAAAAACGAGTGAAAGATGTTAAATGAAATAAGATTGATTGAAGAACTAAAAAAAAACAAACGCTGCAGAGAGCGAAATGCCGTAATATCTTTTATTTGAAGTTTTCAAGTACACTTTAAAAGACTTTGAGCACAGTTTTCGACTCACTGTTTATACTTTATACTTTAATATTATTTCATAACATATTTTATTATATTATATATAGCCTTTGTATTTAAAAAAAGATAAATTAATCCTTCTTTAAAAAGTTTTTGTAACTTGTTGTATATAATATATTAAATTGGGTCACTCTGTATTGACCTGGTGCGTATAATATTTTGTGCTTGTACTGTGTATTTTCTGTCAATAAAAGATCATGAGATTAAATAGGTGAAAAATGTACGTTTTTACGGCGTAAAGGATGCAAGAGTTGTCAACAATGCTAGAATTGCAGTGCAAGAGTTGGTAATAATGTCAGAAGTGAATAGATAATAAAAATTTGGATGATTTGAGAAGCAAATGAATATACAGATTTCCTGTATATAGAATTTCACATATTTTTTTGGAATTCGAAAGAAAATGGACTTGACTGCCTTCATTTGGTCTGAGGTTTTTGGATATATATTTTAAAAACCAGGATTTTTAAAATGTATATATCTGAAAAGCTGTTAAATAAATTTTAATAAATAATTTAGAAAATTTAAAATAAATTTCCGATTACATTATTAAGTCTTCTCATAAGTTTTGCTTAACCTAAGCTTTTAATTGATAAATGTTTAATTTTTTCAAATCCAGTTTTATAGTTTAAAACTTTTACACATATTTATATATTTAAAATGATATCAATTTATTTCTTAAAATCTGTAATAATTTAAAATTTATTTTTTAAGATTAATTTATTTAATTTCTTTGTTTTAGTACATAATATGTGTATGTGAACATTTTTTATTTAAAGTTCATTTAACTTTTAAGTTAATGAAATTTAAAGGATCTGGCATAAAATTAAAGGCAGACAATATAATATATAAACAAACAAATTACTTTTAATAAAATTGAACAAAATTTTCATAAAAAATGTTTATTTCTAAATTAATTTTTGAAATTTTCAGTTATTTGTAGGTGCGTTTGTGTCCTTTTCTTTCACTAATGCATGAATTTAGAATTCTCCATCTCTCTAACGACTATTAGAGTATAATACAAACATACTATATCTCTATATTACTATATGTATGTATGTATTATTGTGTATTTTTGTTGAAATGAAGTGATTGTGAATGATATCTTTATTCATTGCTTTTATATTGCCATATACTCTTGTCTTCTCTTTCTATATATGTACATATACATATATCTACATATGTACTATATTTTTCTTTAATCTTGAATTCATACATCTTGGTTATGATATTGATAATGTTGATTACGATGATTATAATGATAATAATAATAATAATGTTATTGTACTTGCATAATACAAATAACATATGGAAATATTAATGAACAACTCTTAAACACGTGCTTCATCTCAGTCAAACTCCTTGAAATGATTGTTTTTGGTTGAATTCTTCTTTTTTTTATATAAATGTGTATAATATGTTTTTTATGATTTCAAGTGGCGTTGCATAAAAATAACAACTTCAATTCTTTTATTTTATATCTTTTATATATAACCAGTCCTCTTAAAGTGTTTTCTGACTGGCTGTTTTACCAGAAAATGAAATGTGTTTTAATAGCAATTAGTTGATGTTTTCTTTGCAATTCTCTACATACATACGAGTATGTAAATATATATAATTTGTCTAGGTACGTATGTATATTTATATATGCATTTATATGAGTAATGTGTGTTTTTGAATATAAAACGCGTATATGTTGTAAAAAGTTGCCATGATTTGTCAAAAAATTTTGACAAATCACTAAAAATTAAGTTAATTGGTTACATTAAAGTATTACATTAAACTATTAATAAAAATTTAAAATATAGAATAAAAATAAAAATTTTTAATGTAACCAATATTAAATTAATTGGCTAATTTGACTTTAATTTAATTATTATAATATAAAAAATAATAATGCTGCTTAAATTTATCGAAACTATATTGTATTTACGGAGTTTTCCTAATTAATTATGCAATTTATTTATCTATATAAAATGAAATATTTATCTTTCTTACTGAACATTCTGAAAATTTCTGAAAAGAACAAAACATTAAATACAAATATCGATTGCTAATACAAATAGTCAGTCTTCTAATACAAATATCGATATCAGGTCTTCATTTTGGATTTTTGCCGTATAAAGAGAAATAATCAACCAATTTCCTTGAAATTTAATATTCAAATTTGGAGTGTTAAAGCAAATTATCTGTAAATTTACAGATTTACAGATTAATCTATTGGAAAGATTAGGGCTCGGAAAGTGATCTGCGGCCCGATTATGCATTCTTTACCATATCTACGAATTGGATTAATGGAATTTCTTGAAATTTGATATTTGAGTTCTGGTTGTTACCAAAATGAACTGGCGAGCCAGCGAATTCGGATGACACAAAGTGAAACTTTACTAAGAACCAAATCTACATTTTTCAAGGTATGTTAACTTAAAGCTTACTAACGCCCTAAAAATTTGAAAGAAGTATTTAAAAGGTATTTTTATAATATTCTGTAACACTTTCAGTTAAGCAAACAATACACATTGCGATCGGTTGTGTGCTGAGCACATCAAAGTTTTTTATTATACCATGAAGATTTTTTTAAATGAAAGTTTAATTAAAAACGAAAAGTACTTTATAGTTAAAATAAATCATTTCTGTAATTTTGATGCTTCCAAATTAAAATAATTCTAAAATAAAAGCAAGTAAAATAATGATTTACGAAAATTACTCGTATAATGTACGTAGTCACACTCGTAATAAGTGCTAATTATGCTCGTAAAAATACTCGTTAATAGGTTAAATCTGTATGCAATTAATATTTTCTTTGAATGTTAACACTTTTTTATTTACTTTTGTTAAATACTCGTATAATTTTTTTTTACATATTTTGTTTAATTTAATTTAATATTATCTTGTTTAATATAAGCTTCAATTAAGAAATTTAATTTTAAAGGACTTTCTTTATTTTTGTATTAAGATTTCCTAAAACAATTTCATATTGTGCAATAAGAGTTTTTGTAATTAATTTTCGTCTTTGTTTAAAATTAACAAAATGACAAGTTTTTTATTTACTTCAATCCATTTTTCCTATACTCTTTAAAAAGCAAGTTTCAAGTAGTGATGGCAACACTTTATGAAAATTCATTATTAAAGAAATTAACAAGCCGATAAACCTGAATTTTCTCCTTTTCATTATCTCAGTACATAAACACGCACAATAAATACAATTTAGAAAATTTTAATTAAATTTGCACTGATGTCTGTTAAACCCGGTCGCAGTTATTCTAAATTTTATGAAAATTGTGACTTGTACAATTTTTTATTGATTTTAAATTCCTCGTAATTAATTACTTATTTTTAATTAATAATATAAAATATAAAAAAGTACAATGCATATAGATTTCACCTGTTTATTTCAATTTTATTTAAATAAATTTCAATAGAAAAATTTTCGTTTAAATCCTCTTAAAATCTACCTGGAATTTTTTTAAAATTAAATATTTAAATCGAAATATTTTTTGACATTTACAATTTTATTTTAACGTATTTGAAGATTATATGAAAATTTAATTTCGAAGAATTTATTTTTATAAAATTCAAATGAAAAATACATATACGTATAGGTAAAATCATATTTTTGTATGAATGTAGTATCAAATGCTATGTAATCATCACTGTAATGCTAATTACAATTTATATAATGTGTACCATACAAGTACATAATTATGAGAATTTGTATATAAATATGTACATTAATTATTCTCAAATCTATTGTGTCAAAATATATGTATTATTATTTTTTATGGGAATAATTAAAGATAATCTATGTATATATTATATTTATTATTTGTATATAATTATTGTGTACAGCAGTTAAATTAACAAGTTAACCACATTTTATAAATTAAGCATATGCATAAATTTCTTTAAAGAAAATTTATAATAATAATATAGTTACAATATTTGCATTTATGGTCGATTTACTATTGCTTTAAGAGAAACCAAACACAAAATCCACAAAATTTTTCTACATACGTATTTATGTATATATACACATGTAAGTATATACACATTTATATGTAATATGCATGTGAATGTATAAACAATAAACTCAGCAATTGTAGCAAAATACCACATAATTGAAATTTAACATTTCTTTTCAACACGTCTTCTTATAAGATTATTGTACCAACAACCAACATTTTATTTATTTAAAAATCTATCGTTGTATCCTTATACAGTACTCGTATTGTACGTATATATATAGGAAGAAAAATAAGGGAAAAAAATGTAAAATTACAATAGAATATTCATGTTATATTTAACAAATGAATTTAGAATTTTATAATATTTGTACATATAAATGTGTATACAATTTTATATATAAAATGTATGTAATGTGCATAATTCACACTTTTGAGGTTTTCATCTAAACAAAGTTATTTTATAGATTGCGAATATTTTCTCTATAAAAACATACATGTTCCATATATTTTTATATATGTAATTCTGTAAATTTGTACATTCATACATAGATATTGAAATATGTATGTACATATACATGGTCGAAATGTTTAAGAATCTGACAACATCAATTACATCTTTTGAA